GCGAAGCAGACGCTCCATATTGTTTTCGTTCTCGAGGCGAACAAATGTACACTAAGAGTCAAGCCTCACTGCAATGGGCTGGGTCCGACGCCAACGAAAGAAACGTCTCACGTAGAACCTCTTGTCTCCATTCCGGTTGAGAATGGAGGAAATGTCAAAGAGTTCAGGAACCGTTCTTTGCCGTTTGGACGGAGGACGGAGGACGCTCTTTGCTTGTTCACTCGATAGCTTATTGTTGATCGGGAAGTGTATTGCTCCAAACCGTCTGCAAAAGTATCAATATACTTTTGACTTTAATAGGGGATGATGTAATGAGCTTCTCATAGCCATTACATAAAGGTACATTTATGCACCTTGAGGATATGTACTGGTGACGAGATGGACGTGTCGCTGGATTCAGAAGTGGGTGGCGTAAGCTAGTCACTTCTACTGGATACTTTTCTCGAAACTTAGGCTCAAGCTTACGAGTTCAGCCTCAGTATACCCTTGATTATCAAATTTGACAACCAAACACCGCTAGGAGCCTATTGGGTGTATTGCACGTAGCTAGAATCAATAACTCAATTTACTTCAGTTGCGATTTTGCCTTAAAGGGCTTAAATCTTTCTACTTCCGTCTAAGTCGGGACTGTCCTTCTCCCACCACGCCGGTAATCGCTTCCTCGTCGCACAAGCGCGTGTGTATTGTTCGAGGGACTGTTTGTGAACAGCACCCTCTTACATCATCACTACCGAAACTCTGACATTGTAGCGCCAATTAGAAACCGTAATACGGTAGAGGTTCTCGGGTCCGCTTCAAGAAAGTGCGCATGAAATCAACCACTAACAATTTGTTAACGCGAATTTTTGAAGACAAGCCTTCCTCTGCGTAAAGCGCCGGCAATTTTGCTCCGGAGATATTTGTATATCTGAAATTGAGTTGATCACCCGAGTATGTTTGTATTACCAAGCGGTAGTTAGTTTTTTAATCTTTTTGAAGCTCGTCAAAGCGAAGAATCGCTGCGATGCGGTTCCTTCTGAATGACTTGCTGGGCAGAGCGTTTTGTTTTGGGTTGTTCGACGACTATACCCCAATTTTTAGTTTTATGAGGGTCCATAGCCAGACAATCATCGACGTATGTCTCGATACCTCTAAACGTTTGAATAAATAAATTGGAGCACATGATCTTCGGGATATGAGACTATCGCTCGTAACAATTTGTATTCAGAAGTCTGTCTCTTGATCGCATCTTCTTTTTGTAAAATCCGCCTACTATCGGCCAGTCCTGCCTTTTAGTTCTAAGATAGTAAACTAGGTCAGAAATATATCTATTAAATAGTAAACAGTTTGACGTTTCTTGCCGTTCAACAGTATCGATTGATTGGATTTTTTATTTTTTTCGCTGCCATTTACTCGCTAATTGCGAGGTTAATTTCATAATATGCATCATTTTCAAGTCAACATCAAGGCAGCTGCGCCAATGACTGATTCATCGACAACCGCGTCAGCGGCTGATACCTAGCGCATGCAGCCAGATTTTATTAAAAGGTTGCGTCATATGCATCATGGCGAGCAATGAAACAGTCTCAGTACTTGTCCGCACATGATGACAAATTTGATGACCAAAAATTTCACGCCGTGTACTTCAAAAACCTCCGAGACAACCGGTCGCGTTGAGGAAACTGATACCAGTCCTGGGACGTCGCACAACTTGCACCGAGGAAGTTCCGCCTCAACAAATCTTTATTGCAAAGGCACCGTGGATGGGTTTGGACGCTCGACCCTCGACCGGAACCGAGATTGTGGAGTTTTTGAGTGGTAATCCAGTAAAAAGTAACATTAAATAAGCTATCATACTAGCTTCATAAGAAAACACATATGTATTGCATGGCGTGAGCTAGAAGCTTAGGTGACCCAATTACATTTCCTTTCTGAAGCTTCATGTCTCTTATACGTACCAGTTTTTGACGTGATACTTAATCACTAAGTCATACTTTGATACTTCAGAATTTTGCTTCTTGTTTTAACGGTATTTACGTAAGGTGTACATGCACCACAATACGGTATGCACACCCTAACACCCTCTGATTTAGCAAACTAAAATCAAACTCATTTTGTCTTTTAAAAAACGTTAAGCAGCAATAGGGCTTTATTTGTACTGCTTGCGCCAGATTTTTATTTTTCAGTGCTGGCTCGGCAGTCCTTGCTAGCGTAATTCGTAAAAAGCATCCCTCCTTGTGCCACTATGGCTCGACTGACTATTAGAAAAGGCGTGCACCTTTAGGTCGGTGATATTCAGTTTATAGTCGGTGGGGAAGCTGAAGTACCCTTCGATGAAAACATTCGCAGCTACTTTGAAATCTCATCTCAAAACCTTTGCCCTTATACGACAAAGCCGCTTTCCTAAAAGAAACTTATCTAAGATTGAAGCGCTTAGTGTGTATTTTTCACATATCCTCTGTTCGAGTTGTGAACCATGTGGTACCCACTACACGGTGGGCGTTACGCCGTCCAACCGCTACAAACGCGCTAGATCCGACTTATCAGGTCTAACTTACCGGGCTGCAAGTGCAACAGCCGTGGCGACTTCCGCAATTTCAATCACGTCATTAATAAGAAATATTAAAGATTGCTCATTGCACTGCAGCGGTTCTTGTATGACTAATACGTTTATGTAACAACGTGACGAACGTATGGAAGTTTTCGCTATTATCGCCACGTCAATATGATGCATTTAGCTAATATAATGCATTTAGTTGTGTGAGTTTTCTGCTCAACTGGAGCAATGAAACCGCGCGAAAGTTGCTCATTGAGCACATTAAGTCCTAACAGTACCCCCTCCTCAGGAGCATGTTTGAGTCTACAATAATAGCTGCCGATTAAATCCGTACCATCCTTGAGTTACAGCTAGTCGCCCGCCCATGAAGAGTCCTCAAAAGCAGTTGTGATACTACTTACGCTACTGCATGGAACCGCTAGAAAGGCACTCAATGCTAGCCGATAGAGTCGATGACGATGAAAGTTCCTCGTCTTGATTACGAGAGCTATCCACTGATAGTCCGACAAGAGAGTGCGACTAATTTATTAGCCACTTACTTCAGCTACGATCGCAGTTGGGTTCAAATTACGCACATCATCAATAACTTCTCACGACTGAACTTTCACACTCTGATCTTGAATTATGATGTGTATTTAACAATCGACCACACTCGTCGATGCACAGCCTGCCATTGCGGACGCCTGCAGTATACCTTCACTTGACGATGTGTAGTTAGGCATTACAAGCCTGTTTGATACTCGCATCTACCAAGTAAGAGTTACGCACTCTCGTACACGACTGAATTTGCTTGTGGTAACCTTGCCATTGTGTAGAACATAAGTGTAATGCTTTGGTTCAGCAGATTAAGCTTTATGACGTGATCTGCTATAAAAACGGTGAAATCATCCACTACGACTCAGCTTCGGACTCCTTAAGTTTAAAATAGTAGCTTTTTTTCAAAATTCCAAGTGGATACTAATGTCAATACCACTATCTGTACGATGGCGCCGTTCACAAACAGTCCTCAAATACAGTGTGCGACGAGGAAGCGAGTACAGTCGTGGAGGGAGAAGGACAGTCCCGACTTTGTAGGTAGAAGAACAGTTTAAGCCCTTAAAGACAGTTCTGAGCTGAAATGAGTTCTGGCTTCTTGCTAAATGCAAAACACCCCAAAGATCCCTAGAGGTTTTGCTATTAAAACGTTGCGTTCCTGATTTATAACTCAAGGGTGTACTGACGTTGCACCACAGCTTTAACTACTAATAGATCTTGGGTATACGGAGCTCGAATGTCGAAAGCTTGATTTTCAACTTTAGTGGAAGGTATCCAGTACAAGTGACTGGCTTACGCCACCCACTTCGAAAGCTTGAGCTTCAACTTTCGTAAAAAATATCCAGTAGCAGTGACTGACTTACGCCACCCACTTCCAAAGGCAGAGTCACGTCGGTCTCGTTGCCGGAACAGATTCCCAAGAAGGAAGTAGGATTTTGTATCTCACAGAATCTTTGTGACTTCATATATGAAATCACGTATGCATTTGGGATTACCGTACCGTAACCTTCTCTTATAAATTATCACGATGGATGTAGAAGGTACATGAATTCACCTTCATATAACGGCTAAGCGTAGCATATTACATCATCCCCTCCTCAAAGTCAAAAATAGTTTGATACTTTTGCAGACTTTTTGGAGCAGTACACTTTCCGATCAACAATGAAGCTATCAAGTGAACAAGTCAAAGCGTTGATGATTCAATTGCTTCTTTCTTCAATGATGAGTCAATATATCCTCGTGACCAACAGTCATCAAAACCACCCGTGTGGCCAATCGAAATCCCAGGAAAGATCGAGAAACGTTTTCTCACGTCTTAGATAGCCTGTCATGGTACTCATTTAAGAGACGATGACGCAAATCTTCGTCATTGGAAACAACAACTCTAGCTATATCCACGTGTTCAACTGCATAGTACAAAATCCATCTTGTACCCTAAATCGGTGAACACGCGATCTTGTGTGAGACGAAAGACTGTGCAGTGCTTTGTCGGAAGGGTCATTGAAATAACTCACCGAGTTCTGATATACCCCTCGGTAATTTCTTGGCGCACTGTTGTCGTAGCTTGAACTCTGATCGTCTGAATATCGTTGT